ATGAATCGAACTGCGACATGTTTGTTTACAAACACATGCGCACGTATACGCTACATTTATGTTCGTATTTATATTTATCTATAGCCAGCAAGCTTGAATCAAAATAATTAATAATAGGTTTCTCCTTTTTCATCTGAATTATCACAAGTTTTTATTTATTCGGTTTCATGTTACTTAGTTGATATTTTTATACTAGTGTTCAGTATTAATTGATACAAAGTTATTAAATTAAAAACTTTTTTTAATAGTAAATTTTCAGAAAATGTTGTTATTTGATAATTATTTGTATTGTATCCTAATTTAAAATTTTTTTTAAACAATTTTACCAAATGGTTTTAAAACTAAAATAGATAAGATACAATCACAGATTCAAGTGATTTCATTAAAAAATAACACTAAAATCTATTGAATTACACAAGTAAAAAATACAATGTTAAGTTATAATCACATACTACTCAGATCATTTTAATAAAGCAGAAAACGATAAAGTTGCAAAACAAAATAAAAAACAAATGAATATAAAATTTTTAATAATGTAACATTTTCTAATAATCTAAATGAAAATCATGTTCAGGCGGTAAATTGTATAATTTTTTCAATACATTTATTCAAATAAAGGCTATTTAAACAATACTATAATATATCAAGTTTATTTTACATAATTATGCTGTAGTTAAAGATGTAATAAGATTAAACGATTTTAATTTGGTGTATTAACCCATGAATTTTTCTCATTAAACTAATGAAAATAATTGAATTCTTAAAAACATCTTAGGCTATAAAATATAAAAATGACTATTACGATAGAGCATTTATATAATATAACTATTTAGAACCTTTTAAAAGTAATTATAGTAAATAGTGATATATACACTGTCAGACTAATGCAAATTCATATACTTTAAAACTTTTTGTTGCAGATTATCAATTATTTATTTATCAGTATAGTTATTTTAATATATTTTTATAAATTAATTACTAAGTTATAGAATTATCTATAATCTATTAAAAATATCATTGGAATTAAATAATATTGCATAATCAATATTTGTATAAGAAGATCTCAAATCCAAGTAATTAATTCTTGAATGTATATATTAATTTCGAAAATATTTATCCTGTATAATTTTTATCTATAATTAATCTTACACAATAGTAAACGTAAATATATAATTAATAAAATGATTATAAACATTGCATATATACATTTATATTATTTTAAAATAATTATTTTAATTTTAACTCTATTTAAAATTTCATTACAATATCTACTATATTAAAATTAAAAATGATTATTAAATTTATTATTTAATATTCTTAAAATAACAATATTTTATCATTTTGTGTTTTGACTCAAAAAAATGCATATATGTAGTATTAATCAATTATAATTGATTTTAAGTAAATCAATGTTGAGCATCACAAAATTGTATTTAAGCTAAATATTGAACTTTCATAACCCTTATGAGGTACATATAAAAACAGTATATATTTATTATAACATTACATTTTAATTATATATACTAATTGACACTAAAATCCAAATTTTATTGTATTAAGTTATTTTATATTGTATTAAGTTAAATTTAACATTAAAAAGTAATATAATATAATAAAAATTTACAGCAAGTTATATATATTAAGCCGTAATTAAATTTATAAGATATATATTATATTTTAAACAAGGTAACAATTATTTACTTTAATGAAAAACAGAAAATTAACAGTAAAACCCTTAAATTTATTTGATATTAGATCATTATTATCCTTTTCTCTTAAAAAGAGATATGCAGATAGAAACTTAGAGGTTCAAAGTGTTTTCAATATAGCAGAAAATCTTCATGATATAAATAATTTCTTAATCATTAATTGGATTATTTATTTGTAGACATATACCCTTATAATTTTTAACTGGTTTATGAAAGTGCTATTGGTATCTTTGTGTATGCAAATGTAAATATGAAATTTAAATAAAGCTAAAAGTGTAAAAATTGAGATCAATTTACCTCCGTATACAAAATTGCAAGGGCACTTTCGTATGTGGCTGTCTTAATTCAGAGATGAATTCATTATTGTAAAAAGCTACATTAAAGCTAATAAGGATAGCTTATTTAAATATTTGGTGGTACATACGAAATAAAACACATTTAAGAAATATCAAAATGTATCTACAGATAAGGCCTTCCATTTTTCAATCGGCGTATTGTATAGTACGTTATGGTAATACGTAATATACATTCAAACTTGGTGAAATATACCAACCATGTCATAGTGGAATATAATATATGTATAGTATATATATATATATATACAATATATAATATATATAGTATATATATATAATATATAATATATAATATATAGCTTTTGGTAGAAATTTATGTAAATTATATATTGTTAAAATATCTTTGTTGAAGCTATAAAACATGCAATTGGAAATGTTATTGTACATAGAAATGGACATATTATTGAAAATCTAATTAATTTTATATTTGGTGAAGAAAAATTAAGCATTCAATATTCTTTAGAATATGAAAGTTTTAGAAATTACTGAAATTACAAAATAAACACATAATTTTTTTTATAAGAGCATGATTAGATGCATAAAATTGTATATAAAAAATTCTAATATTCAGTTAATAGTAGAGTCAAACAAAAAGTACAATAAAACTGATGAAAACAAATTGATACAAAATTTAGAAAAAGAGGTATTAATTTAGCTTATGCTCCCAAAAGTTTAAATTTTAAAAAATTTTTTAAAATTGTATTGAAGGATAAAACATTGAATATGACAAACTATATTATAATTAAAAGCAACTATCTTTAAAAAAATTCTTCAATTTATACATAACTAGTAAATTAAAATATGACTAAAGAAATATACCAATAAATATCTATGTCCATCTGGAATAAAAATACTTAGTTTCTTTATTAATACTTAAAGAAAAACATGAACAATAAAAGGAAAATTGTTTAAATTTATCTTTCATACTTATATTGAAGCAATACGAGAACAGTATAATTATCATATTTATTAATTGCATTTAATATCAGAAAAAGTGCGACGAAAGGAAATTGGCAACTTACCTTACTTTGTTTAAAGATTTTAACACATAAATAAAAGTTAATTTCAATAGATACTTGTTTTGTAACTACTTGTAAGGAAAAAATATGTTTTATATCAAATTGAATATAATTTTGATTATTATACAAATATCTATGCTTTCGCTTATGTACATAAATAGAATGTAAAGAAGAATTTTAAATTAAGAAAGTTAGAATTTATAATGAATATTGGATTTTGTAACCTGACAGAATCTACAACGGAAGGATAACTATAATTCTGTTATAATATTTGTATAAAATTGGTAATTATCATGAAAATTTATTAACTATTTTTACGAAAATATAAAATTATAATTTATTTTGATGAGCACAAATATATTTATTATCTTATAGTGAGTATTAAAATAAAATCATGAAAGGCTGCCTGTAACAATAAAATAAAGTCTATCGGATAATACAAATTTATGCATCTAAGTAGAATTGATGATTTAATATTTACAAACTGCATAATTAATACAAAATATTTACTAAATAGTTATGGAAAATAATTTCAATATGACGTGAACAATACCAACGTTTATAAAGTATTTATTAATGATCTATTCTCATTATACATAAAGCATTTCAAATTATGTAGTATTAAGTAAAAGTAGGAAAAAGAATTAATAATTTATGTATGAATAAATTATGCATTTAAAGAGAAATATTTCAGTGTCCATCTATGACTCATAAAATATGTAATTCAATAGGTTATTAAAATTTCTTAGTTAAAAATTTTCGAACACATTTCATTATTTTTTGTATTAAGGAGGTAAGATCGATTTGTTGACAGTATTGTAATTCTTCTCGTTTTTCTTAATTTGTGTCGACTGCCAGGTATTCTTTCTACTTTATAAATGTTATGTTTAATCATATTTTGTGGTTGTCCTAGTCTCATACACAGTGATATAGGTCCAGAAAAATCAACGTTTGTTGCTAATTCAAGTTTTGGCTCTAATGTTAATGTAAATTCGATTCGACTTTGTACAAAATTTGTTATTATTTTAGTATTACCTTGTATGGCTATTCCAGCTTCTATCTCAACGAGAGATTGAGCATTTCTTGACCAAAGGCTTAATTGAATTTGACCTGCTAAATCTACACTAATTGCTCCCTCTATATGTGTTTCTGCTATAAATCCTGAACCCAGGGCAATAATTTCATGGTGACGATGAAGGTTAACAATAGTCTGGAAGGCTGGTGTACGCTCTGAAGCTGTTCCGGACCAAATATGTCCCATTAATTCTCCTTGACCGGAAAAAAAAACAAATGGACGAATATTGACATCTAAAAAAGAAATTTCCATACCAGCCGTGGCTACTTCATTTTCAACAAAACTATCATTCTCTTCTTGATCATTTGTATTTACGAAATTATTAAGCCCTCCTGCGAATAATCCAAGAGAAAAAAATGTGTATTTGGATGACTCATTTTCTAGCACTACATCGACAACTCCACGCTTTAAAAGACCAGAACTAATTTCTTGAATTGTAACAAGTGAACCATTACTTCCAGCAGATTGAAGAAAACTTCTTGTAAATGCTGTGCTCAAACCTCGTTGTGAAAAAGTATTATAATTGACAAATTTTATAAATTCTTTTTTTGCCGCTTCTTTGAATTTTTCGTGAAATTGTAAATTAGTACTAATTAATTGCTGCAATCTTTGAACCAAATACTTTTTTACTTCGTAAATTGGATCTTCATCAGTAAGGTATAATAATAATTGTTGCAAATTTTCAACCGAAGGGTTATTTTCTAAAATTATATTCAATGCCAATGTTCTAACGGTACTATCTACTCTTTGGCCATTCAGTTGAAGAAATGTTTTCAGAGCTAAAGTTTTTATTTCAACTGTTATATAATCACTAGAAAAGGAGCCTATAACTTTCCACACAACAACGCTCATTGCACGACTACTGTTTGTAGCATATTTCAGTAAAATTGGAATAACATTTTTATTCCCTAAGTTTCCTAAAGAGCGTAAAAATTTTATTTTACATTCTTCTCCAGTACAACTGTAAAGGCCAAGTTCTAAACTTTGTTTTACCTTTTCAATAAGAGTAGGTGTGCCATGTCGTTTTGCCATAATTGCTGCAGTAAGTGCTAATGTTTCAGAAATTTTATTATTTTGGATTGTTTCTTCGGAGCGTCTTACAATGTCTTTTATAATATCTGTATTTTGATAAGGTGATATCGAAAGCGCCCATAAATACCTTTCAGTATTATCTCCAATTTCATCTTGTTTGAGAATTTTCATCGCTGCTTGATGTGCAGCAACAGTCGATGCAGAGCCATATAAATCACACAATTGCGGTAAAATATCATGGTTACGTGGGCTTTTTAAAATTTTTATAAGACTGTCAACAGAAGCATCTCTGATTAAAGGTACGAGTTTTAAGAATGCAGAAGCAGATTTAGTTGTACCTAAAGCAGATTCTTCTAAAGCACTACGACTATTATCTAAAACAGCATCTAGAGTAAGGCATCCTGATTCGGGACAAAAAACATATTCATTTTGAGCTTCAATCGGGATCTCTACATAGCGAGAATCAAGTTTATGCATAGCTTCTGTATAAGTTGATGCAATTATTCGATTTTCTTTAGAAACACCTGGAAGTAATAGGAAAATTCTATGGGCAGTAATTGATGTACCGGCTTCTGGCCTGGCAGTTAAGCTTGTTTCGTGCTTTTCATTTTCCAAAATTTCTTTAGGTAGTAAAGCTTCTGTTAAATCATATGTAATTGTATAAATACTGTTTCGTTTCACACCTAAAAACAGATTCGGATGTTTATTCTTATTTTTTTTACAAGAAAATTTAACTTTTTTAAATAATCTTGGTTTTAACGAATTATATGTTACGTTACATAAGCCACTCGCATCTTTTTCTTGAAATACTCCTTCAACAGTTTTATACTGAAAAATACTTACTATTCCGCGTTTTAAATTTAAAGATGATACACTTTCTGTAGAAATAGCAAAGGTATTCAAAATTTGACCATTGTTCCACAATATTAAAATTGGATCTTTTGGAATATCAACTAATCGAGAGCTATGTTCTATGAAGCCTTCAGGTTTTGGGGCCTTTCTCGATTTAATCCATAATTGGGGCGAAACCATTTTTATAGATATAAGAATAGTTAAGGGATTGTTAGGATTTTTCCATAATGGCAAGACTTTAAGTTTAGCAGTTAGTTGAAAACCCACATCACCAGTACTGCCATTTTTCGATTGGAATTGACGAATTTCTCCGAGCAAAATACTTGCTTTCATATCATAAGTAAACTCTGAACCAATATCCCAACCTTTCGAAGATACAAGTGAAATAAAAAGTAAAAAAATAAAACTTTTTACTACTATGAACATCATGAATTTTGTTTACTTTCAATCAGAAATAAAAACAGATATAAAATAAATTTTATACGCCCAATAAATTTAAAATGAACTAAATAAATTAACAAATTATATATTTAAATCGTTAAAAAAAATCTGTTTATTTTATAAATATGCGAATATAATTATTTACGCCACTTATATCAATTAAAAAAATTATTGAAATATTAATTACAATTAATGTTGATTACTCGTATTTATTATCACCTATAGTTTCTTATCGGTTTAGTTAAGTATTATAAATGTTTTATGCATTTGCTATGTAAAGATTATTATGGATCCAGTGCGCACTCAATGGCGTAAACAAAACGAACAATAATCTTAAAACGTATGATAATAAAACTTAAAGATATGACAAACGAAGATTGGTTTGGATAATCAATTATGTGGTTGTTATCACTATTAAATGAAATTATTTTTATCAAAGGTATAAATAACATTATTTATTACTCAGCATTTTATATTTCTAAAAACTAATATAAAAAATCTAACTTTTATATTTAAATAATTAATCTCAATGCTTCAACATTTTTATATTAGTTCTCAACATTTATAACTTTAGGAGCTTTGTTAACTTTAATTTATAGTGCAAAAAAAGCAGAGGGAGTTAAGCTTCATTACAAAATGTGTCTAAAACAAAAGTACTCACAATTACGCAAAGAGATAATGCAAAAATAAAATAAATTACAATGATTAAATACGTATACCATGCAAAATAAAAAAAATTCGGCTACTGAAAAGAAATTTCCTTTAAGTTATACCTGTTTCAGGACATTAATTTAGCAATTTTGATGGCACAAATAAAACGGAGAAAGGTTGTCAATACTATTTTTAGTTTATGTTTGTGTGAGTTGGTACTTGCGTTTTTGTTTAAAATTTATTTTTTGAGTTAGTTACTTATTCATTTACGAATAGAGTATATAAATAATCAAAATAAATTTATACAAAATAAATTGTTTGTAAAATTTTTCTGAAAAAATTAATTAACTTACAATTATATATTTATAATTATGTAAAACAACTACAAAATCAGAATTAAAATACAAAGTAGCCGTACAATGTAAACTTTGTCATTGGAACTGGAACTGCCAAATGATTTTACACGTGTCGATTTCTCAATATTTGATTGCGCCGACGCACTAAATGGCGTTCAAACCGCAGAACAACGCAATCAAATAAGCAAATTGTTTAGACGAATTTGAGAAATGCTTCTATATGTATATTATGAAATATAAGAAAATTCAAGGTTCAAATGCAAGCTAAATTAACACCCACACACACACAACACCTGAAAGCAACGAGCACGCGTAAAAAAAACTTAAACCGGATAAACGGCACAATAGTAAAGTTACAACTCACCGATTAATTTGATTATTCTTGTTAATAAAAGAACTACACCCTCAATAAGAGTATAAAAATTCAGAATACATAATTTTCGATCTTTGTTTCGCTCGCTTCTCTCTCTTTATCTTAACCACTTATCTCTCGAAACGCTCTCATGCACAGCCTCACACGGAATGAGCGACTTTCCATGGAATCGGCCTTTGAACACGTGTGAAAATTGTACATCTTTGTTGACTAGTACGGTACTTCCGTACAAACGATTCTTGAGGTCATCGGCATTTTTTGTCCCGGCAGTTTAAACAGGAATAATATTGCTTGTTAATTATAAATTGAAACAAAATGAATAGATATGGAAAATGTACCATTATTAAAACAAATTTTATGTAAAACATTTTATATTATTTAATTATTTAATAAAACTTTGTCTATTAGCCTTGGTAGGTAAAAATATTTATAAATAATACCTACTATTGTTTAATAATTTTTTAAAGAATAAAATAACAAAAATCACAATATACATATGCAATCAGGACTATAAATTACAATGTAAACTTGCATATAAATGCATTAGTAATATTATATTCTCTTAATATTGGTATATCAATTTATATTTAAAGTTGATGTGAATGAAGGATAAGTGAAATTAATTTTTTTGACATTTAATAAAAATAAAAAATTAATTTTCCTACATTATTTCAAGTAAAATTATCATTTATTTTTTATAAGTAATTTATTAATTAATCTTGATATTGTAAAAATCTAAATATATTGTATTATTTAATTTATTGAAATTAATTCAATTATTATATTTTAAGGGTACTCATGCTGTGGAAATTTATAAACATGAAATTACTATAAATGCAGATCATTGGACAGTTACAGATGCAAATAGAATTCCAACTGGAGAAATTCGCTCTGTTAATAATAGCATTATGGATTTAAGAAAACCAACAGTCCTTGGTGATGTTATTCTAGATGTTCCAGGAGGTGGCTATGATAATAATTTTTGTATAACTGATTATATTGATACAACTTCAGAAAAATTTGTTGCAAAAGTTGTTCATCCACAAACTGGAAGAATTTTAGAGATATTTACAAATCAGCCAGGAGTTCAATTTTATACCGCAAATAACTTATCGGGAACAGATAATAGAGGTATTATAGGAAAACATGGAATAACATACTTTAAACATGGAGCATTTTGTTTGGAAACACAAAATTTCCCAGATGCCATAAATCATGTAAATATTTTAAAATAAAAATTAAATTTTGTTTAAAATTTTAATACTATGAAATAGAATTAATTTATAAGACATTTGAATTTTTGTATTATTTATCTAAAGAATAATAAATATTATTTTATTTACAGAAACATTTTCCAGATAGCATTTTACGACCTCACCATTTGTATTACCATATTGTAACTTATAAATTTGGAGTACAAGCTTAAATCAAATGAATAATTAAAACACTATTATTTTATTATCATTAACAATGTATAATTAATAATCTAATAAATTACCTTCACTATGGTGATTATTAAGAATTTATTATATTTTAGTTTATGTACCTTCATTATTTTATTTTAATGTAGTTTATACAGAAGCTCAATGTATATTGTGAATGATTTATACATTTTTTAAAATTGTTATACATTAAATCATTTACAAAAAATTTCTGATATCTATTTTATTAAACTATACCAATTTTATCCGATATATATACATATATCACATATACTCAAATACACACACACATATATATATATATATATATATATATATATAAATTTGTATCTTTCTGTTTACGCATAAATGAACAAATAAATAAATATATATATATATATAAATATATATTTATAAATATATTTTTTGTTTCACAGTCATTTAGTTTATTATCTCACAATGAATTATGAAGATAAAGATGGTGACAAATTCACATCCAAAGGATTATGATTCTTGCTTGTTGTATTTGTATCGTTATTTAATAATCTATCTTGACGTTTTTTTATTACTGAATCGAATGATGGTGTATGTCTGTCAGATATATAACCTTCTAAATGATATCCAATAAATCCAAAAATTCCAGCAATTGGTAGACTGATGAATCGCGTATTTTTTAATAAAAATTTTTGTACGATGAGCCACATTTTCTCTATAATATTCTAATATTACATATTATGTATAAAACTTTTGATCTATATTTTTCCTTTATTTTTTATTGTTATTCCAAAAGACTAATTAAATAAGTATTATTTTGTTGTAGAATATATATATAAATAAATTTATAGATATAAATATTTTTATTACATTTCATTAGGATTTATGTAACTATTATATGTATCATATAATCAAAGTAAATAATTTTATTACTAACCTAAATTCAAATCCGAATATTATAAAAAATTTACTAACATAATTAAATATTCGTTTGTTTTTATAAAAAATTAATTTAATTAAAATACTTACTATACTTGTTAATTTATAGTCGATAATTATACAATTTTAAGGCCTAAACTTATTTGTCAGACTACAGAATTTATTTGCTATGATTATCAGATCACACAAGCCTTTGGCGGTTTAATTGAAAATTTTTTTTGTTCATTGCGATATAGATCGACATTATTCTGATAATTGATTACATTGTCAAAGTAATTTTTATGTGATAAATGATGTTCACAGAATAAAAAGTTGCTAATAAATTAATGTGAATTTAACTTAAATATTTGAAGTTCAATTATTTAATATTCTGCAATTGGAAAGTTCTAAGTATATAGTATTTCACGTAAATTATTTGTTAATATTTATATATCTTATATAAGATATTTATATAATTTAATGCACCTTTAAAAAGTGTATATCTTTAAAAAGACCTATAGAAAAAGTAAATTAAAAAGATTTAAATTTTATTAAATTAAATGATTTAGTGATTTGTAGGTTAGGAAGATGGAATGGGTCAGCGAGAGCGCAACAATTTGCAGTGAATAGTAAGAAGTGTAGAAATTATTATAAGATCTTTATATTTTTATGTGTTTTACAATATAATAAATGTTTTACACAAATGGAATGAAAATATCAGGACTAATATATAATCCTCAATTATTCATATTTGGTAAAGCAGGATCTTATATACAATTGTAATTTTATTTTATTAACAAAACTAGCAAATCCAATAAGTTAACTCGGGGCGGCAGAATTGTTAATATTATTTAATAATAAAATTTTATCTTAGTTTATAAGTTTTTACAAATAAAAAATCTAGCTGAAATTTTTCAAAGGAAATAGAAGAAAATGAAAAATTGTGTATATAACAAATTTTTTGTTGATTTTAATGTATGTTATTACGTGCTTAGATAAAATGAAATATATGTAATAAAGCCTAATAAACAAGTTCTAAATATATTTTTATCGAATATCTTTTTCAGAATTTATACAAAATAATGATAAAATATTCTATGAAAAATCAGTAATAAATTTCATAAAATATATGTTAGACTTTAATTTATTAAATTGAAAATATAGATTGGCATTTAATGTATAAAACATGAATTTAAATTTAAATGCATTATTAAGGTCAACTATTATTATTAACATATATATATATTCTATAATTTATTAATGATTACCCAAGTGATAAATATTTTATTCAACGAGTGATATAAGATTATATTTCAAAACAAAATTTTAACATTATAAAGCCAACGAAAGAAAGAGCGGTAATTTCATATATTTTATAAATATAATTAATAATCGATTTCAGTTTAATATAGGAAAATTAGGTATTTTAATAAAAAAGCATAGGAACATTAATAATTTTTTAGAAAAAGTACATTTCTAGGTATATCATTACGTATAAATAAATTTACTAATAATATTTTAATTTGACGATAATAATGTAAAGAATAATATTAAATATATGATATGTACTAGAACATTGAAAATGCATATTCAATAAATAATTTTATAAAAAATATTAATATAAAAATTTTGTATGATTTATAGTAATTGTTAATATTAAATCGGCCAGATTTTTTATACAAGTCATGATAAGTAAAAAACTATACCATTTAAGTGCCATCTATTGACAATTTGATATAAATACAAATTTATTTGTGGTTTTGGTATTCCACACGTGTATGGTATAGTGTTTAAAAACATTTAAAAAGTTTTCTGAAAATATTAAAAATGTTATTTTTATCAAGTCGCCAATTATTTTCACGCGTATTTAATAACAATAATAATCGATTTATCAAATACCTTTACAATGTAAGATTAAAAACATATTCAGATAAAAAAGAGAGCGACAAAGAAAAATCAACAAAAATGGAAATTGCTGTTCTTAACAAGTTTTCCGAGTCACTAGAAATTGAACGTGTTGATTTTCCAAAAATATCACATTCTGAAGAGGTTAAATAATAGTATTTATTAATTTTATTACAGAAACTATTATTTAAAAGTATTTTGATATAGTTACTAAATTTTTTTTGTAGGTTATTATTGATGTAAATTATTGTGCATTAAATGGGTTGGATGTACTTCTCTGTGAAAACCTATATTCATATGAACAAAATTTACCATTTATACCTGGGTATGAAATAGCTGGTAAATTAATTGAAGTTGGTGAAAAAGCTGGAAAAGCAGGTTATAATGTAGGGGATAAAGTTGTTGCACTAAATAAAAAACGATTTGGTGGATTAGCTGAACGATGTGTTGCAGAAATGAGCGTAAATAAAATAATATTGTAAACTATTATATTTTTGTAATTAACAATTTTATTGCACTATTTTTTGCTTATAAGCATTTGAAGTTCAAGGTTTTATCGTATAATTTTTATTATATAAAAAACATTTATATTCCTATTATTTACAAAAAAAATTTCTATATTTATAAATTTTAATTCGATATCATAGTGTTTATATCGTAATTATTTTGTTTGCATTTGATTTTGACAATATTCTTGAAAAATTATAAAATAATTAAAAAATATTATAAATATAATAAGTAGTTTCCAGAAAAAAGTATATAAATATTTTATTTTTATAAAATCCAATTATTGGATTTGATCTGAAAATGAGTAACTGGGTATATGTCTAATTTTTTTGTTAAATTGAATAATGATATAAATCTGTAGGATGTTTGGAAAATATCTACCTCTATTAAATCAGTTGATGCTGTGTGTCTGTTAGAAAACTATATGACAGCATTAATTGGATTAGAACAATTTGGATGTATTTCAGAAAATGATATGGTTCTTGTCAATGTAGGTATTGGTGGAATTGGACTGTCAGCAGTTGATATTGCTGCAAATATCTTCAAAGCTAAAGTAAATATTATACTTTTCATTTATATTTATATACTCAAATAAGCTTTTTTATTTTTAAAATTGTTAATTATTTGAAATAATCTTAATTTCTAATTAATTTATGTCTCTCCATGTGATTAATGTACAATAATTAATAAAATGTAAGAAATGTGTCCCTAATTTAAGTTATTTTATTAAAATATGATATAAAATTTATAAAAAGTTTCTTGTTAGGTACTTGGAGTAGGATTTTCAGAAGATAGAGCTGATGAAATAAGAAATAGAGGTGCATTTCATGCTTTTACTTACAAGGAGAAAAAGCTAATAAATGAAATAAAAAATATTGCACAAGAACGTGATATCAAAAATATTTTTGAAGGTGATAGTGGTGAGAATTTTAAGAAAGTTCTTAATAGGTAATATATATGATAATATGTCTTCAATTACTTTTTAATTCGTAATTGTTTTAAGTTTCATGAATGTGTATAAATCGAAAACTCCTTCTAAAAGCATATTACGAGATGATAATTTTGGAGTGGTTGTTCAACATCTATCTTATGAAGGTATATAATTTTAAATAATAAAATTATTGTAAAATATTAATTGATTTAGTGTTTATATTAAAAAGGTAGAATTATAATTGCCGGAGTAGCCGACGTAAATTTGAAAATAAATGGAAAAGAAAACGATAATGCATTTGTCATTACTGGTGTCAATCTTAGGGATTATAAAAAAAGAAAACACGATTTTTATCGGTAAGAATTTATTTCTGTAATCAATTACGCTTATTTTATCTTTTGTTATAATAATAGACAAACTGGCGATGATGTAATATCATTTTTCGAAGAAGGTCTTATTAAGCCAAAACCTTCATTGGTTACTGGTTTTTACAAAGTAAACGAAGCGAAAAAATTCATTTATGACATGAAAGCTTGTGGAAAAGTGTGTAAAGTATACTAATACTTTTATTTGTATGTAAAATGATAATATTAGAATATATTATTTAATTTTCAGGTTGTTATTGATATGAAAAATAAAGAAGCAGAAACAATTACATAATACATGTTTACGGTATTAAATTATTAATGATTCAGATTTAAAAATGATAAATTATCTTTAATGAATAATGGGCATAGACATGCAAGCGAGATAAGACTGTTTTATTTACTGAAGAGAAAATTATATTTTAAAAATATTACAAATATTACGAAGCTATTTATATAATAATTTTTAATAAATATATTCAATTTTATTATAATATTAATGGTATTAATATTAATATTTTTAAATATTCAGTGCTATAGTTTTTAATACTAATATTTAATACTTTTTCTAATCGTTATGTAATAAAATAATATATAATTTATAAAAACATATAACTTGAATACTTAAATTAAATGTATACTATTTCACAATTTTAATATTTTACATTATTAGACAATTACGATTCTGTTAATGTAATACTGCTTAAATAATATTTTATAAACAAACTTTATATAAATTAATATTAATTGAAATATTCTATTTAGAAAAAATTAACACTATTAATATATGAATTAAAATATTTATATGGTTTCCATTTGATGAAATTGCTACTAATAAAACAGTAAGTATCATTTATTTATTGTATTATAATTTATTATATTAACAATGCATTGTAAAATAAAATATATATTTTGCATTATAAAGTTATCAAATTTTATAAGAATTCATTCGTTTTTATTACTTTATTTAATAGTATATTTGGAATGTTAAAGTAAAAATGTATACCTGCTGTAGATAATTAATAAAACAAGAAATAACTATTAGTAAATATTAATAAATAATAATATTATTATTACATGTGCTATAATAAATAATTTTGCATAAAAAACAAAATAATAGACGATTATATTTTTAAATCAGTTAATCTTTTAATTTTTATATGATTAACAATTTAATCTTTATATATTAAAGTAAGAAAACTTGTGGATATCAAGCAGAATAAAGAATATGATAATAATCTTCGGATACTCAGTGAGATAACGGTTATGTTAATTAATTACAATTTTATTTGTCCATACACATATCCATACCATACTACAAATCGTGTATTCATTCATTAATGACATAACATAATCATTGATTTAAATTGAAAGATGAATGAATAATACATAAATGTGAATACCATTTAATGTTGGTATAGAAAGCATAATAAGCAGTTAACTGACGAAATTTCTGCCATTTAATAGTTGCACCATTCATAACGATCGTACAGCACTAATTATACATATATTTAAAAATAAAATATTTTATATATTTGACATAAGAAATGTAGTCGAACTTTAATTAATTAATTAATTTAAAATACAATTTTTAATAATTGTATCTTAAATTACTAAGTTCTCAAAATAATTATTAAATTAGAAATATATTCATCTATATTTTAAATCTTACAATATTTATCAATAAAATAATCCATTAAAATATGTATGTATTACTAAAATATAAAATATATTTATATTTAATATTTAATTTTTTACAATTATTAAATGGAATTGAATTATTATGTAATAATTATTAGTAGTTTTTTTAGTAAAAAATTCTATTTTCTTAGCCAATTTAATTTAGTTTTAATTTCATTACATAAGTTCTACATGAAATGATTTAGTACATTATGAAAATCAATTGCTAAATAATCGAAAGCTAGCTGTATGTGTTGCGTAAAATAATCAGTCTATAAATAATAAATTATATAAATTAATCATATACACGTATTAGTTATACAATCATGAAAACTTCCATTGTAATAATCATTATTGTAAGAAAATGAATGTAGATAAAACAAATTTTATCAATAATTTTACGATTGATAAAAAGTACAGATTACTAAAGGCATTTATAATAAATTAAATTTATATACGCATAGATAATGATAAGAAATAAACGGTTTCAAAATATAAAATATATGCCGAAATGAAAGATTCATTATTATACCGATTTAGAATTAATCTGATATTATAATAGAATTTAATATTTAAAACAACTATTATAAATATATAAACTGACAAAAATTATTACAATTTTATATTTTTTTTCGAACAATATTGATTTAAGTACATAAATAAATAAATTTTAAACATTTCATAATCGTAAATAAAAGTAAAACTATGACAAATTAAAATATATGTTGTATTCGTACTGTGCATGAAAATTTAATAAATATTGCCAATGGGAATATATTGATTGGTTTTAAATAATGACATAAGATTTAATAATTGAAGTTAAAAATAAACTAAACTTGAGATTGAAGTTTCCAGAATTTTTAATCGATCTTAAAAGTATACTTTTTTTTAATTTTACTACGAAGTTCTTATATAATGAAAATAATTATGAAATTTTTTGTATTTTGAAATAAATTTTTTCGAAATAAAATAATTTCTAGTATATAAGATAAAAATGATTTATAATAAATACTTGGTAAGAGAATTTAGAAAATTATATTCAAATATATAACAATAATTGTAAAATAAGTAAATTTATACATGTTAGATAAATTTATAAAAGAAATTTGTTAAAATTTATAGTAATACAAATTATGTAAAGAGATTTTTATAATTTATAATTTTACGTATTTTACATCATTTTTCAGATATTTTATTAAACTTTTTTTAAATTAAATTTAACAAAAATTTGAATATAATTTTTATTAATCAATTCAAATAATAAAATTTTTACATTGTATTAAATAATTTTCTTATTTTAAGATAATATGTTTTTTATATTAAAAAATAAATCTTTATTCTATATTAATAAGAAATCATACATTTATAATAATTTAAACTGTAAAGTTATTTAGAGAATATAAAATGTAAATTAGTTTTTACATAATAAAATGAATCAACTTATAATTATAAATGTTTTAAATTTTTTATAAATTTAAAATATGCTTAATTTAAAGTTTTGTATCCTAAAATTAAAAATATAATAAAAAATGGTATTTATGAAAATATATATTTTTCGAATAAAATACTTATAAAACGTAGTAAACATAGATATAAAATCTACAAAGGAAGTAAAAGTGACGTTGACGTATGGTAATGCTTAAGTACGACAATTTGACAGTTGATTGAATTATCGAGTTTGAGTTGTAAGTGATGTAATATGTAAGTTACTGAATCTTTTGAACGTACTTTTTGTATAGTGCCCATGTCAATAATAATTTTTTAAAAATAGTTCTCAAATCATGCAGGTCTTTTAATAAATTCAGCCATTTAGTCAGATTTGATTAACCTGTATTATTGTACACTGAGATTGACTATTAAAAGAAGAGTTTCAAATAATTAAAAGCTTCAATTAATTTATTAATGTTCTGTATATAAGGAATTTTTTGGAGCTATATATCTTTTATTGATATGAGGTATCTTTTCGGGAAATATTCAGAATTTTGTGGAGTTAATCATAGATTTATACCAATTGGAGTTGAAATAATTAGTTTGAAGAATTTTTTAAAAGGAATTAAAAAACTTTTCTTTTTCTTTTTTTTCTTTTTTTTCTGGTATTGATAGTTAAATAATATTTGTTTGCATATTATATATGAATATTTTAAAGATATTAAAAAAATCGATTTATTTAAATTTCAATATCTTTTTATACAATTTGATAATATTGCTTTGTAAATATTTCTAAAACGGGTACGAAAAAATTAAAGCAACATATTTTCATAAAAAATTTTAATTTTTAATATTAATTAAAATCAAATAATCTGATAAAAATTTTACTAAATAGTTGAAAAAAAAATTTGCATGCAGAATTTATATTTAATTTATGAATTACTATATTACCAAAAAATCTACTCATGTATGTCTAATAACTGCTTAAATAATTAGATATTTTTTTACAAAAATCCATTTATTTATTTATTTATAAATTTTTCATTTTATCGTTAAATAAGTTAAATCATAGAATGAAAGAAGTTTCTAAAAAAAATTTTATATAAAATGGTTAAGTAGTTTTATATGAGCAGTGATTTTGTAGTAAAAATAAATAAATTTTTATAATTATACCAAAAATAATGCGAGTATTGAAAAAATTATTGATAAATATATCATAATAAATGTTGAAATATTGGGAAATATCAAAAAACACAATTCATACGCATCTTTTCTATTGTTCAACCATATATTTAATGTAGGTATCCTTTGATTTTATAATTAATAAAAGTTTATATTTATATATATCTCGATATATATATTTGAATTTTAAAAATTGTATATAATAAAAATATTTTTATAAAAACTAATTATGTATAGATATTATTTTTTTGTATAAATAAATATAAAATCATATAAAAATTATATTTTTGTAAAATACTAATTGCTGAATTAAATTTTAATACTATACGTTTACATTTAAAAATTTTTTTAATAAACATATTTGACAATAATTTAAAATGTACATATGTATTTTTTATTATTATTGATTAATATTATTATATTCACATATTTTAGATGAATGAATCATTACATTCAATATTATAATATTGAAAATCAAAAACCTTTCTTAAAGAATGATCATGTCAAAGCTTAAACAATTGAACAAAAAAATTTAATTAAAAGGTATGACAATATTGTTTTATAGAACTTCAACAATATGTTTTTTTCTCTTATTAATGATCACCGTGAAAGGAATTACTAATGCTTGAAAGTATCATTTTAGAATTTTGTAAGAACAAGTTTGAGAAATATACATAGCATCCATTTATATTATTGAATGATAAAAGTTTAAATATGAACATGCACAGAGAATATTTTTCGTTAAAATGAATTTTTGCATCGTTTCCACTGCGCTATATTTTAAATATCCTTCAGCTTGCTTACAATTGGTATGAAATGCTTACATTTGTTGCCCGTATAGTTAATTAGTGACTATTTTTTTTATCTGTATGTGTACATGGTATATGTCGATTCGTAGGTAAGATTTGTATGAGGTAGTAGTTAGAATGTAATAGACTAACAATGCAATTACTCTGATTTAATTTTAGAAATTTACATGTGTTATTAACAGTTTTTAGGTACCATATGTTAAATATATGTCATATGAGGCAGTACCTATTTAAAATTTTTATCACGGACTTACATTTTTGAATTTATAGGCTTAAAATATTTTATGAAA